TGTGACATTACTCTAAAGTGGCATGCCTATTGTAACGCGTGACGCTGGCCTACGCGTCACCGAGTCCAGTCATCCGGAAATATCAATTAATTTTATAATTTACTCGAAATGCGATTGCTAAGTGAAGCTTCATTAGTAATTTAACACTACATATTCGTGAACTAAATATAGTTTAACAATTAGTTTTTTCGAAAAGGCAGATTGAAAGATTCTATTTACTTTTGTTTAATTTAAGTTTGTTTTATAAATATATTACGGTATAAAGATTAAACTACTATGATTGAAAACCTTGTGATAATTATCGGCCATCTTGTTGAAGCATTTACTTTAGTAGTGCATAATGTCGAAGTGTTTTGTAGGAAAAAAATGTTAGAAAATTGCGGAGTATTACAGTAATATTACTACTGTGTAGTACTTAACAGTAATTAGCCCATAAGTACTGACAATATATACCTACTATATATTTCTAATAATTTTTTATTTTCGTTTTTTATTTGAAAATCGTATAAAGGTGAATTGTCAGAATTAAATATTTTAATGTGTATGAAATGACTAGGGACTTTTGATAATCATGATAGTAACAAATATAAAAATCACAAAGAAGCAAGCAAACTTTTGCGCGCCACTAAACGATTGATTATGTTTTGAAACAAACCGCAGTATGACACATTGTGTCCTAAGAGGAAATATAGAAGTTAATAACAACAGATTAAGAATATTATAGACAAGTTACTTAAGTTAAAATAAAATCCATTTGACGGTTTAAAACGCGATATGTATTTATTTTTACTAACGTCCACCTTGTGACCATGACTGTGTTTAAAATTGAATTAAAAAAATATATATCGTGTTTTGAAGCGTTGAAATTGTTTTATTGGATACCACTACGCGTATCATATACGATATTATTATTTTACGTTAATTTACGCTTAGTTATGATATTTTAGTACGTTGCACGCTGCAACCTCGGTTAGGTATCAAAAAGTACAACTCCGATTCGTTTATTTTATCATCTCTTCGTGATGCAAAGCAGTGCTTATATGCTTTGGCGATATGCCAATGTATTGTATAACAGTTTAGCGTATACTCCCGAGTTTCGGGTACCCGAGACTGTAGTGTAGAACAGTTCCGAAAAGTATACGTGCTTGTAATTGCTAATGCTATGCTGTAGAGTTAACAGCTTAAAGGTTAAGAGGGAGGCGAAATAACCAAACCCAATGAGTGCTGTAGTGCGATGATTTATTTCCTATCAATATTGTTTTAATATAATTTACAAGAAAGTGGGAAAGTAGGATGCTTACTAAGCAAACCTTGTAAATTTGCTTTTAATAAAAACATTGATGTGAGCACGACGCTGAACGTGAGAATTATGCTAGCTATGCTATAAAATAATATTATTATAAAAATATAGTAATTTTGTTCGAGTTTGTCCGTACATCCTGCCGCCTCAGAAAAAAAGGAAAAGAGCTAGCTTACATTAGAAATAGGAAATAAACTCAAATTAAGATGTGTTAGAATGACTGGAATGTCGTTGTAAAGTTAGCAATGTTGATTGCAAAAAGTGAGGCTTAAAATATTTCTTTCGCTACATAAAAGTGCTTTTCAAACTATACTTAAACTAGATTAGCATGTAAAAGTGTTACTACTTCTTCAAATAATATTTCTAACTACTGAAATACATTTATAGACTAAACAACTTTAAATTAATGTTTACGTGATATACAAATTAAATATAGATTTTAAGTAAAACTTGTGCACTTAAAGATAAGTCCCTAATCGAAATAAGAAATACACTTCGTTCACTTGTACCGATTATAGAATATTTATGTTCTAAAATGCATATCACTTGCACTTTCACTATGTAATAGTGGCTTCACGGGGAAGGGTCCGCGGCACAGGAGGGGTGCAGACACGTGTGTAAGGGGCACTCTGGCTGATGGTGTAAAAGGCAGAGATGTAGTGAAGTAGCATGGGAAATGATTTCGTAATTGCCAGTTGTTTAGAGTTTGCAAGCGAGAAGGTAAGTGATGAAATGATGTTCCTTTAATAGTGGGAAGAAAGGTGAGATCTGGCATTTAGGGAAATAATTTCGGGAACATCTTATCAGCCGCGATTGATCGAATGGGCAAGTAATTATAGACCTTGGGGATCCTTGGGACGTTTGAAAACAGTTTGAATTTTTTGTTTTGAATAGTTTTAAGACATCGAGGCGGAAGATTAAGGAAATTTTTTCAGTTATTTTACAAAGTTAAATTTTGAATTTTTCATTCGATGATTTGTTTCAAATTGTAAAACTGCGCATTGCGATTTTAGAGGTTAGTTTTTGCTCAAATCAGTTTCAAGAATCGTGATTCATGTAAGCGGCTTTTTTTTGAAAAGATTACAAGTCCGTTCCTCTTAGGTAATTGTACTTTGAGTTTTGGGTGGGTAGATTCCGTAGGGAAAGAGGGGGAAGACTTGATGATGGAATACTATACTAGACTGGCTCGTAGAGGAGGGGTCGGTCGACAAATTGAGGTTAAGAGATGAAAGGTTCAGGTGGTAAAGAAGTTTGTACAAACTTTAAAGTTAGTACGGTTCACTGTTGGGGAGATAATTTTTCAAATTTGGGCAGAAGTGTAGATAATGCTCTTGAAACAAAAGAATTTGGAGCAAAGTGGTATAGTTGATCTCTTTGTATGTTGGTTTAATATTTTAGGTGGAGAGCAAATTGGGGAATCTCTTTGAGAAACTGGCTCAAATGCGAATACCTTTTTTCGGTGAAAAAGGAATTTGAGGGAGATGGTTGGGAGAGCAGGAGAGAGGGTGTTTATCCTTGTATTTTTCATAGTGTTATCAATGTCGACCCTTGGAGTATAGATCAATTTTTAAATGAGAGAGTGAGAGGGTGTTCCCTGAGTGATTAAATTATAATTTGTAAGGCTCTAAGTTGGTGCGTTGTAGACTTAAATAATTCGCCGCCTTGTCTGATAGCGGAGCGCTGGCACCTGAAGGAACGGGGAGAAGCTTTTCCATTTTGCTTGATTGTGGTGCAGCTATAGACGGTGTGTCCTTACTGTTCGGCGCCGATGATACCGCAACACACACAAAGAGTTAGAAGGGGGGTACATATTTGGGTCGGAGGGAATCGCTGGCGCTGGGGGGGGGGGTTCCTGGGAGTTGGGCTGGTTCCGGGAGATGGGGCGGTCGAAAGTGTGGGAACTGGTCCGTTTGGCTTGGTTGAAAAACTGTATTGGGTGGACAAAGTAGAAAGTTCCGAAAAGAAGAATGCAAAGCAAACAGTAAAGGAAAGGAGGCGAAAAACAAACCCAAGAGAGTCCAAATTTTAATATAATTTAAAGAAATGGAAAGAGGAATAAGAAACCTTGATTTGTTTAAAAAAACAAGAGGAGAAGCTAGACAAAAATAAATTATAAAAAATAAGAATTGGATACAACTTTCAAAATAAAATAATGACGAATGGACTTCCTTTTAAATACACAGTGAGAGCTTGTATTGAAATTATTAATAGTATTGTGTATGTGTCCAAGCGATTCACAGAATTAAAATGAGATAAGAGAATTAAAATGAGAGAGATTTTATAATGATTTAGGAGGACAGACACGGTATGGGGTTTATTTTATGGTAAGTGATAATATACCCCAGCCTATAGCACCTAAACAATTTTTTGAATACAGACTGAAACCGAAACGCGATTAGGCTTCGCGGATATTTCATCTGTGGTGTGAACGTGACACGGACGGAATTTCTATATTCCTACCAATCATTTAATATCCAGATTTCCAGACGAAGTCCAGCATGTTTCAGATAAATTATAAATTGAATAAGTAGAAACGTGTTGGATCTGGTGGGGATCGAACCCGGATCATGGGTTGCTACCATTGCTACTATTTGACTAACGAGAAGTCGACTTCGACGAGAAGCTACATTAAATTAACCGCTTTTTAAACATAAACAATTTTAAAAGATAGTTTAAAAATTAGGCAATTTCTATAAGTGCACTATTCCTCAATCTACACTTCAATAAACCAGTAATATTCAATAAGTAAGTAATTTAGTCGTATCAAAAATACACCAACCACTTATACCTAAATACAGCACTTCCGTTTTAATATTATTCCGCGATAAAAGACCCCGTTTTTGCTAATAATTATACTGAGTAGTTATTCGTATTTGATTGTACCTTCTGTACCTTATCGCAAACTTATATATCTAAAATATAACAACTATTTTTCAAGGTAAGTACTTAGATGGTGAAGGTAACCTAACCATACAAAATTTTAAAAGTTGTATTTGTTATCTGTTCTTAGTATTTATCACGAGTGAAAATAAAGGATAATGGACCCATTCTTTAATTTATGGTTTCCATAGACAATCATATTTGTTAATAATGTCTTGCGCATAAACGAGGCAACGACAATTTTAAAGAACTATACCAGAAAACTAATTGTCAACAGGTCTTATTCATTTAAATAATATTCAAATACTTGTACCATTAATTTAACGACTGTTTGGTGCGCAAATTACAGTAGTTAAACTATAATTAAACATTTTTATTGATAAAATACATAGTATAATATGTAATTAAGAACCGTTTATTCTTACCGCTTTGCTTGATTCATAACTACTATAAACAAATATATTCCCTTTAAACAGTTAGAAGTGTTCTATTTTAAACGGTGACGTAAAGTAGGTACATACAATATATTAACATTGATAAATTAAGCAATGTTTAATTAGGTGTTAAATTCAATGACAACGAATTATTTCGACTAATAATTTGCTGACAAATTTGAATAAAACAACAAAACAAACAAACGATATACATATCTATAACAGCTATATACATCGATACAGGACAAATGGCTACCCGTTACTGTACCTGTAAAAAAACGTTTCACATTTCAGTTTCAGGCTTTGGCTAGTCACTTCACTGCACGGGCATAAATGGAAAATAAGTATATTTGGGTTTCCTTTGTGCGGAGTTGTTTTCTTTTATAATGAAATGGGTCGGGCCGTGGCAGGGTGCGCGCGCCGCCCGCCCTAGGCAGCCCGGTGAGACCGACCGCGCGCTTTTCCGCGCCAATATTAGCAGCGGTTTTCGCGTGAATTCAGCACTGAACGCCGAGTTAGAATGTTCGCTGCCCGATATCCGCGCATGCGCTGTTCAGATATCAACAAATGCTAAAACGGTTATTGACAAATACTTTCAGTCTTCGAAGAACAGCGGCGAGGAATGCTTCAATATTATGCCGTTTGTAGATGCGATATTATTAGCTATTTTCTGGATGTCGCACGTTTAATGTTTAGTCAGTTTACATTTCTATCAGTAATATACAAATTAATTAAGTTCTTATGATTTTTACACATATATGTATAAAAATCATGTTTCGCATTAAAATAATTTAACATACGAGTATAATGGATTGAAAAAATAATTTCTTTGTCTAAATAGGTATACCTAATAATTACTTACATTATTCTTTATTAACTATATAAGTTAGTACTAGCTGACCCGGCAAACTTTGTTTTGCCATATAAATAATTTTACTAAAATAGCTATTACAAAATAAGGGTTGATCGTTGAAGGGTGAAAATTGAGGATTGTATGTATTTTTTAATGCCGCATTAGAAACATTAAATTTCGTCAAAAAATAAAAATAAAAAATGTAAGGGTAAACAACCCTTATCACTTAGGGGGATGAAAAATAGATGTTGTCCTATTCTCAGACCTACTGAATACACATATGAAATTTGGTGAAAATCCGTAAAGCCGTTTCGGAGGAGTACGGTAACTAACACTGTGACAGGAGAATTTTATATACAAGATTGAGTAAATAAATACATTTTATTGTAATAAAGTTACCGGTAAGATAAGTATTATATGTCTAGTGGATTAGTGTAAGCTATACCTACTTAATTATATTGACAATAATTTTATATATTTAAATATAATCATATTAATAACTATTTATATATATGTCTACAACCTAAGTAATAAATTGTTACTTATATAGTAAACGTTTGTTTAAAACACTTTTCTTCACTTATCTCTATTACTATATTTATTCGATTAAAAGACTACTAAAGCTACTAATAATATTCTAATATAGCATCTGAAAATTAATATTCTACAGTATGTTAATTTCGTACCATTTGTAGATATCTTTAATATAAACAAATATATTTTCATTTAAACTTTCAACCTCTATTTTGTATCTAAAATAGCGTAGGCACTTCTTTTACCAATAGAATACATCTTTAACATAAAAATGTATATAATTTGTATAAAATATGTGTATTGCAAGAAAAGTAAGTTAATATTTTGTAGAATTAAAAGTCTACCTAGGATATATTCTAAATTACACTATAGTGTATATTAAATGGTAAATAGGTATTAATAGATACTGAATGAATAAATTTGTATAGTTAAGTGAAAACTCAATAACCCGCGTGCTATTTTATTATCTTATCGGCTTAATATAATATTGTGCTCTTACTAAGCTACGCACATATTGGGATTAAATACCGTTGTTACTTTGGTAATGTAAGAAAACCGCAAAATAGAAGCAACTACCAGTCATATTTATTATACACGTGTAGGTTAATCTTTTAATCACACAAACAACATACTAAGTACCTACTCCAATAAAATTAATAATTTTGTCATCGTTATCAAAGCCGTCGACATCAATAGAATAATTACTATAATTATGCATTATATTTTGTATACTTACATTTCTTGCACAGCAAATCGTTGAACTCAATATTAAAACTTTAAATGCAGTCTTAATATATTCGTCCACAGATTATTCGCGCCGGACCAAAAAGGTTTGTCTTATAGATAGGTCTGGGGTAAAGACCTCGTTACCCGGCTATCAAATTTTGAAAAAAAAATGTATCATTGTTATTGTTGACAAATGACACTGATGCCATATGACATAGTACACAATTATTAATTTTAATCAAGATTCTTTGCTGCAAGTTATCAATCATTTATTATTACAATATAATATTTTATGTATATAAAGTTGCTATGTAGCAACATAGTAAATATATTACTTGTGAATAAATCCCATATCGGTATTATCATATGAATTGCATTTCGTATCCTTAAAATTTTTAAGGCTACAATAATACAACGATATACAATAGTCAATCATGGCATCATTTTATGAAAGGCATAAGAGTTTATTCAACACTCTCAAAGAAGCAGAAGATCAATATAGTTTCTCTAAAACTAACAAAGCCAACGATACTCCTGATTATGGCGTTATTGACAAACAACGGTATAGAAAATTAAAACGAGAAATGAAACAGTTTAGAGGCAAAGAAAGCATTTACAAACGCTCTGAAGCAAGTTTAAGGGAATGCTTACGACCCAAGACTGTACCAGATTTTTTGAAAAATCCACAGAAGTGGTCTTACTATTCATTATGTGATGTTACTCCAGACCAAATGTCGGATTCAACCAACGCAGCAACTGCTCTTGCTTTTATTCAGGAAATGGAAGAACGTAACAACACTTACTCGATAGTGACTGATGAAACTGGTGCAGTATTTAAAAAACCAACCTTTCAAATGTCCAAAACTATTAAACCACAAGAAGTGGAGGAAAAGAATATTGTGTTCAAAAATAATAAGATTATCATGCCTGAATATGTTGTTGGTGTCAAAAAACCTATCAGAAGTCCAAAGCCAATTAAAACTAAAATTCAGAAAGGTGAAAACACTAAAAAGGTTGAACTAAAATTAAATCATCTTTATGATGACGATATTGCTGATGAATGAGTACTAGTTTTTAAGATTGTTTTTATTGTAATAAATAATTATTTAACACCACAGATCCATACTACTCTTTTAATACACTATACCCATTTTTATTGTCTCCATATCATTATATGTATAGTAGTTCTATTATAAATTTAAACACATTTAAATTTATAATACGACTACTTTGTACTCCTACTGTCTGAGCAAATATGAGTTATAATTAATAACTTTTTAATAATTTGCTCATACATATAACTCAAACTAGCTATTACCTATAAACTAGCATTTAAGATGTAAATATATACATAGCAAAATAAAGGTGTACCCTTCATACTACACATTTAATCTTCTGGTTAACAGTTGTGAATGGGTCATATGGGTAAGTTACTTTTCTTAATATTTTTTGTTTTAGCCAGCTGTTTTGTGTATATGGGCCTTTATAGTTTAATAGTAGAAACATGTTATAGTCTTTGGTGACCTTATTGGGTATCAGGAGCAACCTAAGTGAAAGGTAGAAAACAAAGAATGATCGCTGAATAAATGATTTATATGTTATTTTAACATTGTGATACAACAGCTGATTCAGACTTAATTTCTAAATTTTCTGTAGGCTGGCTCTCTTTGTCGGAAGAGAGTAAGGTTAGGTCTCTCATCATCGAGTATGCATCCTCCCCATCTGCGTAGTATTTAGGCTCAATTTCTAGTATTATAAAACCAAGAGAGTTAGTGTATAGATTAAGAGCAGCTCTGTTACTCTTGCGGACATGTAGAGATACATATTTAGCCTGTAAATAAACAAATATTATTTAATTTCAAATTAAATATGCCAAGGCTTGTACATTTGTGATTATTTTAGTATGTTAACACATATAACCTGAAAACATTCCACCATGGCCAATGATGCTTGGTTCATTAATTTTTGTGCTAAACCAAGACGCCTGTGTGATCTTTTAACAGCCAGAGATGTAATGTGCCCGTGTCTATTGTCCTCACCATCTTCCTCCATTTTTGCAAGTACATAGCCTAAATGAGAAAATTTTCAGTTTTTATTATCTTACAAAAATATTAAATATAATGAAACAAGTTATTAAAATTTTTACATACCAACAATGTGTCCCTTTTCATCTTCAGCGACATAACTTAGTTGTGGCCAGGATAGACCATGGTAAAAATAATATTTCATTTGATAGTTCTCAGGTAGACACAAAAGATTGCAATGTTGCATATTCATCAGATCGCTGGGTCGGGCGCAACGTATATTCATTTTGATTGATGTCGCTTATGATTATTGTAGAAAAACAGCACGATTTACTCCCTGCGGGTTTTTCTTGCTTTCGGTTGCCTTACTTCAGAAGCTGGTGGGGTTTCTGACATACCACCAATAAGTTCACGCACAAAACGGAACTTTGATAAACAACACTTCCAAACGACGTACCAACCTAGAACAAAGGAAGGCATGAAAGATGTCCTTGACTGTTTAAGGGCGATTAAGTATGCTAACAATCTTATTTGGGCTACTTACAAAACAGTACGAACGAAATAACTAAAAATATACTACATAAAAATGTAAATATTGCTAAAATCACTTCCTTCATTTCAGACTTTAATGTTCGCTTAATACTATTTAAGAAAAGTATAAACTATATCATTATTTTGGAATAAATTCCACGAGTACACACTATGAAGAAACACAAAGCGATAGTTTACTACTGTTCTATGGAGTGTTTACAGCTTTTTACGTGTCTAGCAATTATAATCCGCCATGTTTACTTCAGAGTACCAAGAACAATAATCTTTAAATTCAATCACACTGTTGTGTAAGAAACTTAATTTATAAATATATATTTTAGAGATAAGTATATGTACCTTTCAGTTAAAATTATCTGATAAATTACAAATTTAATAATAATAATCCCTAGAACTTGGATTTACTACTAAAATAAAAAGTTAGAAACCTAACCTAAAATCTTCCGGACCACCCTTGCCAATTGTCAAAATTATTGCCTATGTACTAATTGTCAACTGTCAAGACCCAATATGGGGATATAAGTGCATATAAAATCGAAAGGTAATAAAAATTAGGTAATGGTGCTTTCATAATTATTAAAATAAAAGCAGTCTAAAATCTATCTTTAGACGTATACGTCTAGTAAAACTGTGTAGTAAAATTAAATGTAAACATTATGCTAAGTTATAAAATATTCTGTATGTGACCAAACAAAAAAAAAAAATTAACTATAATCTGTGTGGTAGATGTTGACAATTGGCACAATAGAATGGGTGGGGCTTAACAATCGTTGAGATTTCAATTATTTAATTTTTACGGTCACTGTAATATTTTAAACAAAAATAAATATTGCATTTTATTGTCTTGTTAAAATTTTAAATAAACTAAGTTCCGAATCAAATGCTTGCTTTCATCACAGTGAACGTATCTTATCAATCACAAAAACAATGGATGTAAACAGTAGCTCTGATGAAAAAGTTATGAACTATAGGTAAGACTGGCAAGATAGGACTTTCAGTAAACTTATAGATTTTTTCTGTTACTCACCATATAATCATCTCTTTTTTAGCCATAGAGATAGATGTGCTACATTCCAGAAGGCAGAAGTAAAAGCACTGTTAAATTTGATTACCAAATATAAATTCATAATTTTGAACAAAAACACAGATTCCAATACGAATTCCGCTAAAGAAAAAGTATGGCGTAAAATAACGAGATCATTTAACGATCAGAAAATAGCTGTTTATAGAAGTACTGATCACTTAAAAACCAAGTGGGAAAACTTGAAGCGAGGTGGAAGGAAAGCTCAAAAGAAGGTTGATGAAGAGGAAACAGACGAAATACGTAGTCAAGTGGTCTGTTTGATCCAAGAATCTGATAGTTTTACAGACAAAGTACAAGTAGAACTTGAAATTAATGGTAATTTATATTGCCTTACTTGAAATTAAGGATATAGCCTCTTTGGAGCAATTGTATTATACCAATGCATCCACGGTCTTATGGGCAACAGTATATGGGTTTCAATATACCATTGAATAATTCTAGTAGGGCAGATTGCAGAAATATGTATTTTTATTATCTTTACTTTTTACCATTTAATTATTATGATTATGTATTTGATTTTTCTTTAATTTAAGATTCAGATGAACAAAATGATACTCAGAAAGGACAGAGAGCATGTTCAGACTATAATTCAGGTATGTTTTTCTTTTAAACAATTTATGAATGCATCTTAAAATATCCTACTTTATTTAAAAATCAATATAGTATGATTATTTAATGAAACAGATTATTTTTCAGATACAGAAGATGAAAAGGACAGGTATGGAATTTTACATTTATAATGTATATATATAGTCTTTACTATGATTTTTAATTATAGACAATAAAAATGAATATCACTTTTTGAATTTATTGTTGCTTTGTGAAACTTCATTGAATTTCCAGGAGACTAAGATCTGTAAACTTTTTACCCGTTGAGTCCCATCTTCTTGTTAAGCTGGTAAGAGAAGAAAAAGCTATATTGTTCATGGAAGGAACTTCAACTAAAATAATACAAAAGAAAAATGCAGCTTGGGAAAGGGTATGTTTATATTTTTAAATGCCTTTATTTTTCTGTTTTGCGTTCATTTATTTTTTTATCTCTTTCAGATAGCTAAGCGTTTTAATAAGATTAATCCACAAGAGAGGCCATTGAATGTTTTAAAAACAAAGTTTTACAACTTAAAGCGAAGAAATGAGAATAGAAACAAGATTAAATTAGAAGATCGTAATTATTCATCTCAGAAAAGTAATGGAGAAGCAAAAGTGGTAAGTAGTAATATAAACGTAATTACATATTTTTTATATAATACCTTCACGATTCTTCCTATTATGGTGTACTCTGATTGGATCTATATGTACACCTCATAAATAATAATAATAGGTCTATAGGCATCTTTAAAGGATAGACTCCCCGTAGGTTGCTGGATTTTCACTTACCATCAAGCTGGGTAGCAAAGATAACCTTTTAATGAGTCATCATTTACATTATATTAAAGGCCCACTCACATAGTCTCCCAGAATAAAAGTATACATTAAAAATATAATATCATATGACATAAATTTTTTCACTCTCTAAGATAAATTTACTGCCCACTGGGGACATGAAATGGACAAGATTGTGTCAAGTACTAAAATTAAGAAAGATGGAACTTAGTAATGTTAATTAGTAACAATGGTAGATACTATTATGGTAAAAATACATTCCTAAAATTGTAAGTGTTGTAAACTTTGTGTTTTCAGGATATAAAAATTGAGCCGGGTTTGAGATACAGCAATGAGAATGATATGGGTTTGGATGTTGAAGAGACTACCTTAAGTGAGCGTGAATTATCCCCACTGCAAAATAATGACGAGAGTATGGACCCACTTAAATTTGTCCTCAACACTGACTCTGGAATAGGTACATGTCATAACAAAGTATATACATCTTATTTCATCTATTAAATTGTGTGTATAGGGTATGTCCATAAAGTGGACACCAAAATATCATTATTTATTATTAAGTAGTATGGTCTGTCTAATAACTAGGCATTAATTTTTCAGTAGTCCTTATTTGTCCTAGTTTCTAGCAGTATAGCCTGGTTACTTTTACACAGTTTACAGCAGCCATAAGCAAAAAACTTCACATTGAAGTTCATGTTATTGCAGGATCCTCAACTTGGACCCCTACATGCAATCAATCTGAAAACGAAAGTGTCGTCAAACTGAAAATAGAACTTCTCAATTATAAGTTAGAGACTGCAAAGGTAAGGTTTTTACAATAATATAGTCTGACTCTAAAATCATTTTAATATACGTTACTACAATCTTTAGCTCGAGAGGAAGCGTTTAGAAAATGCAATAAAAGCTGAGGAGGAAAATCGTAACGTCAGGGCTATAGAAAATTCATTGCGCCTGCGCACTGCGCGGCTCGAAGCTGTAGCAGCAGAATCAAAATTAATGCAAAATCATCCTGCATTGGCATACACAGAGCAAGAATTATTAGCCCAAAGATACTTGGCTATGCCAGACTTATCTGATGACACATAGATGCTATAAGAGCACAGTAGGATTTCATCCAATGAGCAATTACTTCAACACGAAAGAAATGAAGCTCAGTGCAGGTGTGGACTCCTAGTCAAGCATGGGAGTGCCGCATCCATTCATATATGGTGAATTAAAGGAGGCAATGATTGACTCGATTGATACTTAAGTAATAATGCTATTAAAAATGTGCTTGAAAGCTATCTTTATTTTTATTTTGTAATAAGCGAACAATTTAAAAATTGTCTGTCAATGTTGGTAATATTTCCAATACATCTCAGTATGCTTCTGGTTATGGTTTTTAATTGTTGGAAGTGTCATAATTTTTCGCAATATTATAGAAAAACACAACAAAGTAGTAATTATGAAATTTTGTATATTTAACTTGATTGCGTTTTACAAGACGATTAAATTATTATACAATCAATAAAATTATTTAATATGCAGTTTGTACAATTTCATCTAAACCTAGCTAAACTACGACATCTAGGAAATATATTACACATAGCTAATATACAACATTTTTTTTACACAGATAATATAGAATTGTATCGTACGTTTATTTAGTATTTTTAAATGCAGGTATCTCTGAACGAAGACCACGATCTTTAGTCTTGCTTTTCTACGGCTTTTTAATTAATTTATGAGTTAAATTGCGAAATATTTTAGCTACTTTATTTTAGACCCTAAGGGTCCGTCCGTCGTGAATATGTATTAACTGATATATTTCGCATTTAAAACCATGTCTTTAATCAACAATTCGATTTACCGCACCAGTTGCTACACGATGGTACTATAAAATTGGATATTTTATCTATGAATCGGCAGTGACAATTTAATACTAACATTTTACAAATAACATTGAGCACAAATTACTTAAAAACGGAACGTTTTGGTGTCTGATGTTACATTAATAATCTATTGGTCGTGGTAATGTCAAATCTTTGTCGCATGCAGACCAGCAACCGCTATATTTTCATTAGGTTTTATACAATTTACGTCTATATAAAATGTATAAAACTAAACAGAAAAGTTCGAAGGCGGCTCATTGTTAGTACTGTGTCCGGTCTGGGTTGGTCTAAGACTAAATCTTGACATATTGAAGAACAAAAAACAACATAAACTGTTCTCATTAATTTATAATTTACGCACATCTCTGCAATACGATATTATAGTAAACTTCGTCCCTTATTCAATTTAAAAGCTTAAAATTGTTTTAGCGACTTACAGCCTGCGAGGCGAACAGTCAAATACAATTAACTAAAGTTAGAGCAATAAACTGCTTTCACTACGAGCACAATTTGTACGCTTCAGCACATTTTCGTCGCATGCTCATCAAAGATCGATGCAAAATTGTATAAAACTGGACGGACAACTCAACCCACTACAGTAAATGAGCATCCAGCAAATACATGGTCTTGTGTCATTATACTGCAAAACAACTGCCTTACACATACTAATGTTTAATACAAAGGGAAATGCCCATGTCAGGCCACAATCGAACAATGGACGTGAACAAAAAATCATGTTGTTTCACGAGAAAATCACAATCAATAGCAATAATTTCAGAGAAAAAAAAAACAATGTTTCGATGTCCATTGCGTGCCTGGAACACTGTGGAGAGAGGGCATTCCCCTTTAGTTATCCCTTTCGCTAGAAGCTACTCGATGGATCTCCTAAATCAGTGTTCTTTGGTTATATCGACGTTAACTGAGAAGCCAGCTTCTCCAGTGTCCAGCACAAAACAATTATGTTCATAAACGTATCCAAAATAAACGATTAAGTACAAACATACCGTCATTCATTAGATATCCCATTATGGATTTAAATTCTATTATATTGTCTGCTGCATTGCACAAGGCTGTGGTCTGCTATAAACGTAGTAGATAGCGTACAGAGCTGGTGGTCAAAGCTTGGTCTAACCGCAGTCACGGCGGCTCGCCAAAACGTCCGGTAATTATTGACCCCAAAATAGATAATAATCATAACAAAAACGTACAGACCGCGTTACTCCCACATACTTTTTTAAGCAGTAGGTTCTAGGTATACTTTTCAGCAATTATAAAGCAGACACGTCCAATTTGTTGTTTTCATCGTTCGGCTACTTCTGTTGTGAACAAGACCCCTTCGCGTATGATATATACTTCTGATCTAACCAATGGTTACCAATCTATCGCGTTAATAGAAGACCATATCCTAAAGCGGTTCAATCCTTAATTAAGGTGGTAATTTATAGAACTGGTAGGGAGGGTGTTCCGATGTGTGGTCCAATTGGGGTTAGTGGTGTGAGGGGCGTCGTTGACGCCGATGGTGGGACAGTAGTAGCGGGGGTGTCTTGCGGGGGTTCCGCAGCCCTAACAAGGGTTCTGCGTAGTTCTTGAGCTCTGGCCGCGAGGGTTCTAGCGGATTCGGCCATTTCTGCTACAGCGTTTGCGCAGGGGAACTGTTGAGCGGCCGCCTTCGTTTTAGCGACGATAGAGGCTAACGCGTCGGAGAGAGCGTCCGAGCATCTCAGTATTTTCGCTTTCAGACCTGCGTGTTGTGCACTCCTGTAGGCAGGGAATATTTATAATTAATAAAAAGTACGAATTATTTAAATGAACATCACAAACAAAAAAACATTTAAATAACGGTTTAAAACGCGAAAAATATTTATTAAACTTATTGAAAATTATTTTAACTACGTCTCGACGTTTCGGATGCTTTTCAGCAGCCGTGATCATGGGGGGCTGCATAACAAAACAAAACGTCTTAATAACTCTTGATAGCGCTAACACGTCAATTACCTATGTACTGTATCGCCGACATGGACTATTCTATGAGCGCTGAGCACCACAAATTTGCCGTGAGCAAGGAAGACGTCCGGGGGCTGGCCCATTTCTATGGTCCTTAGGAATGCTTCAACAGCAGTGGATAAATGGGCGCCATAGGTTGCAGTCTGTGCAGCATAAAATGCTGCTAGCTGTCTGTCATCTGGAGGCAGACGAGTCGCCGCTGCAACCGCGCTGACCTTCAATAGAAAAAGTATAATGTTTAAATTTAAAAGGCCATATATTTAAGAGTATATGTACAAAGTATAAAATTATTCTTTAACTAACATGCTGAGAATGGAATTTCGTTTTTTTCACAAAGATGATTTTCAATAGAGAGGAAAATAGAAAAGAACAATTAACTTTAAAAAATGAAAATTGAATTTGTTTGGGTAAGAATTGTGTTAATAATTTTCTGTCACTGTCCTTTTGTAGATTAAAATTTTTAGACTTGATTTATTTTAAAAAATATAAATAAATCAAGTCATAAAATTGCAGTTAGGCTACTCTGCCTCTAGCGGCCTCGACTGAGACCAAGAATAAGCCTTATAGGCCACATTAGTGCTTGAATATTACCTCGCCGGCATGGTCAGCGTCACGAACCAGCGCATCGAAGGAAGCTCGTAACTTGTCAGGTAGTGCCGCCCGAATTTCTGCGTTCCGCCTACCCACTGCCGTCCGCGATTCTAACCTCACGTAGTCATATTCCTCTGTCCATTCGTGTTCCGGTACTGTCGCGGACCGCCTGTATGTACAGAAAGAGCGTTTCATGAATATAAATTTAATACTAGGTAATTTAGCACTTGATTTCTATCATTTATACTGTCTATAGTTTACACGTGTAGTACACGTTTAAATAAATATATCGCGTATATATCGCGTTTTAAATCGTTAAATTGTTTTATTTAAATTCTATCATTTATCTTTTTTTTTCGATAGCAATAATTTTTCACAATTACTTAATCTTTGTAACAATAAATATAAAATGAGTAATTTGAACAGAAAAGTTAGAAAGTATAATAGTACCTATATATTTTTTTTTTTACACCACGAAACTAATTCTTTATTTTTCATGCGTATTTTAAGTGTGTGGACATACTAATTTTATAATGTTATTGACTATTTTTCTTTAATTTTTGCAAAAGTTTAAAAAAAACCCTTGAGTTTGAAATACTATTTGTCAATCCCAAAATCATTGGAGAAACTCGCTCTAACAAGAAAAAATATGTGGTGTACTTACTACCTACCTGAAGACTGTAAAATGAAACTTGGCGGTAAAAGGAATGGCGGCGAGTTTTTTGCCAGTTCTTCTCGTTCGTTCTACGGTCGGTAAGTCTTAAGTTTTTACTAGTGTATCGTTCATAAGTGAAGCTAGTTATTTACGCGAATGAATAGTTTTTGACTTTAACTTTATATCTTATTATTTCCGACGACTACCAGCAAGCTTACCTAAACAAGAGCGAAGCATTCCCGTGTATGAAGGATGCAGCACGCCTGACGTCCTCAGTGAGGGACCTTGCGCAGGCCACGAGCTGATCCAGCGCATCCTGTGTCCCGTCTGTCGGCTCCCTGTCTCTTTCTAATCGCTCAGGGGCCCAGTCGCCCGCGTCCAAAGCGCTTGTGGCTTCGTGGGTGATTCGTTCAGCGTCTTTTAATGCTTTTACCAACGGCCGTAACTTTACTGCGATACCTAAACAAACACGTTATATGTTACACTCACAATAAATAAAATTGTTTTAACGGTTTAAAATCCGAAATATTTATTTATTTTTAAGTAGGTATTGTCTGTAGTTTATGCGTGTAGTACGCATTTACATAAAATATTGTTAATGGTTAAATTTTAGTTTCAGATGCTTTACAGCAGCCCACGGGACTGCCTGAAAATTATTTACGTTAACGCCATCTGTTTTGTTGTAGTTGGTATTTTGGGTGGGTCCTCATAGAAGCTCTGAAAGAACCGGAGCCAGTAGCAGTTTTGTTTTATTTCACTACTAATCTTAAGTAAAGCGATATACTGAATAATTTATAATCCCTCCCCTAATCTCTTATACGCCACAGGGCCGGATTATTGATCGAAACTATCTATCATTTCGTATATCAAAGAGGTCATATATAAGAACCAACTAAATATTTGGCAGAAACCCTTTAACTGTACCAATAAAGGTCCGCCCGTCTAAATCAAATCGTGCGTTATAACCCGGTAGGGGAAACTCGAAAGGGTATTAAATTAAGTTACAAATTACATTCGACGCAATATAACGCAATGTAACTCAATTCGGACGCTCAAAAGAGTTTTTTGTATAGCTTTACTATTTGTGATGCAGTAAAAATTCGTTATAAAGAATTAACTCAAATTATATGTTGTGTTGTATACACATATCTATATACCCACTAATAATTAAGTAATGATATAAAATCTAACGAAAACCTAAGACACTGTTGGTTGTTCGTTAGAAATACAATAAGCCACTTTCTAAGCAAGTCCTAACTATATGGCAAAATTTCATTAAAATATGCCTAGTCATTTGGGCGCAGGATTTTTTTTATAGAGTATAGACACGAGAAATAAGCGTCAAACATTGAAAAATGCGAAACGAAAATTTACCTTCTTTAAATTTTATCAAATGATTTTTCTGTTTGGAAATTATCTAAGGTTGATCTATTGTATTTTATATATAAAAATATGCGAGATAAAAGAATTGGCGGCGAGTTTCTTGCCAATTATTTTTAGTCCGTCGTTTTGAGAACCGGTAGTAAATGTAAAATTTGAGTCTTTAGTTTTTAACTCGTGTGACGTTCATAAATGTTCCTAATTACCTACGTGAATAAATGAATTTTGTCTTTCACTAAGGGTATCAGCAATTGAAGAATTTACCTTTGTCTTGTGCATCATGCGCGTTAGCCAATGTAGCGTCAGCAAATACAGCGAGATCGTGCAACGCGGCTCTCAATCTTGCGCCTGCGACGCGTACATCTAACACGCGCGGTCGTAGTGCACCACGCCGTCGCCAACCCGGTGACACGTAAGATAATAGACGAGACACTGCTGCTGACGCTTCCTCCTAGAAGAACAATACAATTATATGATAAAGATTTTCAAGTTAATGTATACTGTATATGTCTATCTTTTAAGGTAAATGAGGCAAAAACAAATTTCGACGGCAAAATAACTATTCTACGCGGACGAAGTCGTTGGCATAAAGGATTAAAACACGAATACAACATATTAACATTTTATAACTTGGCTATATACGTTCTACTTATTTATATTTTTATTTGTTAAGAAGAACATAACAGTATACAAATACACGTAGGTATATTGGGCTTAATTTTTACATTTAGTTTTGATAGCATTGAGGTAGAATTTATTATTCGAAGGATTTGAAATGAATCAATAGCAAATATAGTGTCGATATTCTCAGTACTTACTTGCAATCTTTCTAGGGCTTCCAACGCTGCATCGCAAGGTAATGGAAGAGCACGAGATCGAGGGACATCATACGTGCTGGAAGCGGAGGCGGCGGAATGCGCTGAACTACCAGAATTCGCTGAAGCGCTTGAAGTTGCTGAGGTGAGTGAACCAGTACCGCTGCAAGCGGAGTCAGCGCTGGCAGGTCGTGGCGCGCGAGGTGCATCGTACCAGTCGGCGGCCGGCCTGGGGCAGTCATATGTACCGAGACGCTGTACAGGCATCGGCGCTCTGGGTACGTCGTAGTGGGAACATTCTTCGATCTGGAAAGATGTTAAATTTAAATTATCGGAGACATTTTAAAAAATACGACAGGGGCAGGACTTAAACCGGTATCAGGCAAAAAATATATATATTTGTTTAAATTTATATAGAGCTATCATGATTATGAGAAAAATATTAAAGTTTTCAGATGTTTAATATTCTGGATAGAATTTCTTAGAGAGTTATGTTCTTTATTTGGATAGTTAAAGGTTTAAAGGTGTTTTAAAGCGATGCGAGGTACAGGCGAGTCTCGAACCGGCAACCGAGGACCGGCTTATATACCTACCTACAAAATACATAGTAACTCAGTGCCCTCATCGATTTTTAAATAATTCATTTTCATATAATACATACAAGGCGCAAAAGTCGTTTAGTTTTTTTTTCTAATCGATTACTACTCGTGCGACTTTAATGAAATCGCCCTGCTTCATATCACTGCCAACCATTAACACGTGAAAATTATAAGTAATTATAGTTTGTCAATTTTATTAAAAATTAATGTTTCCTCATTTCAAGCTGTTACCTATTAACGTTGTTTATTACGCAATCTTTCCCGTTATTTACAAAACAAATGAGAAACATCGGTGAAACCCTAGGTGCTACGTGATTGAAGTTGGGTAAAACTCATTTAATAGTCATGATTAAGATATGTTTTACAGGATAGTAACGTGTATTAAATATTGATTCGCCAATGATTTAATTAAAGGGTTTGTAATCCAGATATGATGACCAACACACAATAGTTATATGTGTTACGCAATATAACATATGCGTGAATATTTCACCAAATTAATAAAAGTAAGTAAGGTAAGTTTTAATCGGTTATAAGCACTGTCTATAGATAACGCGAGTATTACATATATACATTTAAATATAACATTTTAAACGGTGAAATGTAAAATAATTTGTCAACGAGTTTAACTAATACATTTTGCGTTTTAAACCGTTAAAAATGTAGAATTAAATATAAGTAAAAATATTCTGGTACTAACATCTTGGCAGTTCAACTTACTTTGGTAAATGCTGGTGACTGCTGAGCTGGTAATGGCTGATGTGCCACAGGCGCTGGTGTCCGAGTCCTCCGCCTTTGTGTAGAATTTGCGTCGAACACGCCTGCTACTATCCGCAGCCGGTTTCCCGGACATATTCCCTGGAATTCAAAAATTTTATTATGAAATAAACAAAATATATTTGGATAGTCTCTGTACACTGGTTATATCAAATTGAGCCAAGATTTTAAAAATGATTAATTAAGTATTTAGTATTAATAAATGTTAAAGGTTCTCCTTAAATATTACATTTTTAAAAGCGTGGTAGAGGTCCGAGTTTTTAAGAATACATAACAGATGCTAGCAAAACTGCTAAAGTAAAAACTGCACTTTGACATTAGAGTCACTATCTTCAGGGCCGTAGTGAAAATAAGTTTAACCTATATATTATCGCGTTTTGAACCGATGAAGTGTTTTATTTAAATGCGTACGACTGTCGCAAATTATTATTATTATTTGAAAATATCTTTTTTATAACAGAAGAGCACAGACAAGTATGAGGTTCCCTTGGTATAATGCGATACCCCAACTATATAACACCTAAAGCTGAAAGTTGAAGTACCTGTCTGCCTCGGAGTGAGCAAAGCCACCAGCCGTCGCTGCCACCCGTGTTCTGCTCCAGCACTGTGAGCAGATCTCCTCGTCTGAACGCCAGCTCGTCTGGTGACTCCGCTATGTTGTCGTACAATGCCCGCGCCATGCACTGTAACAATCAGAACGATGATTTATAATATTGAAGATATAAAATCAATAATACATAATGTGAAGAACTTTTTATTACTCACAGTCTTACAATTGTAAGACATATTTCACATTACAACATATATACTAGACTAAATATCATTGTTGTATTGGAATATCTTCTTTTAACTCAAATGTATTTGGTAAAACTACAAATTTTACTAGACATATGTATATGCCTTTATGACCCGTATTTAAGTCAAAAGGTGTTATTATATATTCATCTTTTTTTTCTATTATCTTTATACACTTTGCATGGGGGTTGTAAAGAGTGTGTATATATAGTGTTTTATTTTTAGTCTGTAAAAATATAAGAAACTTCTTTGCTCTCCTTGAGACTTCTTTAAAGAATAAAGACACATACACAACTAATTATATTATATTTCAACGTTTACTTTATATTAAACACTTTAGATGACAAATAGTTGAGATCTTGTCGAAAATTTATCTAGAACGCTGTGGAAATGTTTTTTATTTATAAACTCATGTACGGATATAACTTAATACCTTCTAGGAAGTCTTCGTAGACTGTGTACTCCCCTCACATTGCGGCCATAAATTTAAACTATACAATCGATAAACATTTCTTGGCCTAAGCTGTGCAAACTATTGTTATGAATTATGAGTTAACTATTCTAATCTGTTCTGTGGAGTTCAGAATAACAAATGACAATCGAACTTCATAATTCACAAGTCTAATTAGGTTCCTTTGTGCGCGAGCAAGTTAAGTTTGCACTGCAAGACGATCTGTTTTCATTTGTCTTGTTAAAAAATAGGTTAATGAAAATAGTGCAGGCGTTGTGGCCTTTCTTGGAAAATTTCTCTTAAACGAGAGCAGTTTAAATTACCATTTCTCAAAGAACAATGAGTGGGAAGCAGCTCCAACCCCTAATATAGAATTTATGATGAGCTCTTGGGCTGAATTTTTATTCTTATACTGATCTCGACAAAGGTTAGACTTTGATGTATATGTACATTAATTTAATAGGACAGAAATTATTCAAATATAAAGGATATTTGAAAGAAGTATTTATCTAATAAATAAATTGTTGTATAATTTTTCATGGTTCAGGTCTTAGATGACATAGTGATTTCTATCGGACTGCATTTTCCTCCTGGCTTCTGATTTTAATGAAACAAGTAATAAGATGTGACAAGCTAAAGAAAATTTGTTGTAATAAAAAGAAAAATAATCTTTGTTTGTCTCCTCTATTTATTAGTCAGAATAAAATCGTGATGATTTAAAAAAAGTTGGCGGTAGCTACAGATTTGACTTTTACATTAGAGACTACCATAACTTTTAGCCCCCCCCCCCCCCAACCGCGGCGAAAAAGCATCTCTCAAATCGGGTACTCAATAAGATATTTTGTGTTTTGTTTAATGTGCGTTCGCATAAACCACAGACAATACTATTTACTAAAATTTCTTCTTCTTTCTAAGACAGATTAACAGAAGAAGAGCATGTATGAACACGCCAACGTCTGATTGAGTTACACTTTCGAAACGGCTATAAATAAAGTATTACGATGTTTTTACAGGAACCGTCCCGGACCTATAAACCCAGTTGTCGGTTAAGTGATTGCTTAACCATCAGGAAAGCACAGGGAATTTACTCCAGCGCAATATACACGTACGAGATGCACTCACTTGGAAATGGTTCGCGTAAATCTAGATTTATCAGCTGAAGAATGGACTTCAAGCTTAACCTAGATAGTTTATTTCACGAAGGCTATAAGAATGAAAAGCTTTGTTTAAATTTTATTACTCCTTTGTACTTCCGAATAATTCTGTAGTTTTACATTTAGCAATTGTATGTTCTAGAATTGTTTGTTGTTTACGCGAGCGGTATACATCAAATGAACAATTTCTATACGGTCTATAGTTTACGCGAGTAGTACACATTTAAATAAAACACTTTAACGGTTTAAAACGCGATATATTAGTTACAGTAGTTTTCCCGTGACCACGGCTGCTGCAAAGCATCCGAAACGTCGGGCCGAAGTTAAAAATCATTTTCAAATAAGTAACTAATATATCGCGTTTTAAACCGTTAAAGTGTTTTATTTAAATTTCTATACATTCAATAAAATTAATAAATAATGATAAAACAACATTTATTATTTACTTCCTCCAACATACCTCTCTGACCACGTTTACTGTAAAGCGATCAAATGACAAAAATAATGTAATGATTAGAATATTAATGAAATAGAGGAGGGACAAACAAGCATAGAATTCACCTAATGCTAGGTGAAATACCAGCCATATAATATCGGAACAAGATGCCCTGTCGATCTATTTTTGCGATTTCCAGTCGAAGTCCAACATGTTTTAGAAACATAATATAATTTAAAAATCGAAAATAAATTTTTAAAAAAATTTCGACTCGGGCAGGACTTAAACCAAGGTCACTCGGTAGCTCAATTGGTAGAGCAACAGCACGGAACGCTGACGATGCCGGTTCAAGTCCTGCCAGATGTTTTTTCAATTATATGTGCGATGTAAACATATAGTAAAAAAATAATTAAGTTTTCAAACATAATATAAATTAAAAATTAAGAAACACGTTTGACCCGGTAAAAATCGACCCGACGACCCGTTGATTACTGGCCTTACATTTCTACCATTACACCACCAGTCGCCCTCTAAGGGCTGAGGCAATACAATGAAAAGATAAAATTTATTTTTATATCTAAAACACTGTAAGAAAATTTACAACTTCATTGTCCGTGCGTACTTGATTTATTTGAGGGGTTAATCGTACACCACTTCCTATTATTAATGGGCTCCTAATTAACATTTTACCCTAATGTCTGCACCCTTTACTTTTCTATAAATACTTGGTATGTCTGTCTTATACGGTACAAACTGGAAATTATATTATACTAGCTGTGCCAGCGACTTCGTCCGCGAGAATCGTTATTTTGGGCATCCAAATCTTTATAAACTTAAGCTGTTAGCCACGACGTCGATCACGTCTCTTCCCATCATTCTTGCAAGCTAATCTTAAAAGATAGACATATAGTATCACGGACTTTTTTTAGTAATTTAAAGAAGAATAATTCTTTCGTACATATTGTTTAGTTATCTTGAATCGTTTTCGCTGCGTACGTAACTGAAACCTACAGAGATGAAAATTTTCCCCCTTTTGTTCACTTTTCACGCTGTGTCTTCGCTTCTATTAGTCACAGCGCGATGTTTCTATATATTTCTGAGATTAGCGCGAACAAACAAACAAACTCTTTAGCTTTATATATTAGTATAGAAATTATAATAGAATAAATTTTTTTTTAAATAACACAAAAATTTGAAATCTGTTCCCTTTACAATATCGTCGGGTCGTAGTTACAGTTAGTAATATGTTTCGCGTTAAACCGTCAAAAGTGTTTTATTTAATGTACCACTGTCGTAAAATCCAGAGAATACTGTACTAACATTTCAACATTTTACTGAGACAGTTTTAAGATATCAACTCAGACGCGTAAAAGAACCATATATTAACCCTGTCACAGTCAAGATAAATATGGATTGGATGCATCAGCTGCATATGCAACGGAACAGCGCGCCCCAAATCTGGCGATAATGACAGATTGCATTGTGTATGCGTAGGCGACGCGTTGGGGCAGGACAAGTCCGTTTCCGTAGTGCAATTATGCAACTGATATTAATAAAGAGATATATTTATTTGCGAAATATTGAAAGCTGAAAAACTATATGAAACATGCGGGACTCAAACCCACGGACAAAACTATGCCATTGCCCTCCTTACCATACGGCTGACTATTGCTTATGATTTTAAGTATTTATTTCAAAATATGGCTATTTTCATATAAAACACTATTTTTACTTCATATACGATAAGTTTAAAATAGTTCGAACGTTACGAAAGTATTTTATTCTAGATATTACACGTACTTTTCTAAGTTATATAGAAATATTGCTATAAATAAAAAAATATATACGAAATAATCTTTACCGGTACAAATGTTAGTAAAGGTTAGCTTTAAACATGCTTTATTGTAATGTTGCCTGTTAATTACCGTCTATGGTTTATAAAAAAATAACGGTTTAAAATGCGAAATATATTAGTAAAACTTATTTAGGTTGAAGTGTATTATTTGAATGTTGCCTGTTTATCAAACAAAAAAGAAACGTATCAAGACAACGTGTAGGTATCTAAAACTGTAGTGTCAAATTTTATCGAGACTAATACTTTATTAAGCTCGATCTGTAAAAACGCGCTGAAAATCGCCGGAAACAACATACCAAAATCTTATATATTATAAAATAAGATTCACATTGACCCAACTAACCCATTTCTTCGAAGCCTTCCTGAGAAAACTCTGAGCTTTACACTGGCACATGTTGCATGATTTCCTTCGTAGATCCTTGATCAAACTTATGAATTTTGCACTATAAACCATATTTACTAACGGGACATCTGTTTCGTACAAGTAACCGCGAAATACTAGTCCAAAACAAGTTCGTATATTTCGTGCAGTGGTTACGATGCGTCAGTTTGCAAGATTAATAGTAATAATAATTAATGACGTCACTGATCAAAACAGTTGAAGGTTTGGAGGTAAATGTAACTTATGTTTACATTTGTCTGGGGTTTTAAAACTCAATCGTCATTTTGGTTAATTACCGCTCATCGTACGTGACTATTGTCATTACATATTGTCTATAATTTACACGACTACACATTTAAATGAAACACTTAACGGTTTAAAACGCGAAATAAAATGTAGACGTGTTTTATTTAGATATTGTTTGATAGAGACAAATTAATGGTCCATTAGTCGTTTGTACGTTTCGACCGTTTATAGTCCTACAGCTGGGGCTCAAATCTCATCGCGAGAATGTTTTTAAGAGTTCGAACCGTCTCATCACAACACCAGATACTACTTCTAGAACGATAACCGCAACTGATGTGGCAAAACAAATATCTTGAAAAAGAAT